CTGGTCTCCCCACCAAATAAAGCGAATTTTGTCAATACACTCACGTGTCTCCAATGACCAGCAAAGCTGACACTTGGGCCCCTGTCCTTCCCTGCTAGGGCTTGGGGAGTGGGGGGAAACCGCAGGAATCAGGAGCTATTTTTGGATCAAAGACAAGATTTCATCCTCAACAAAAGTGCTCGGGTATTTACTGGGAAGCAGACGCTTGGCTGGAATGACTCACGGCGTAGCCACTGCTGTCACCTTAAGAAGCTGCCAGAACGGGGAACGAGGCCCTTCCTACTGAGTCAGTTTGGAGTGGGGCAGGGGGTTCCCAGGGAAACCCCAGCATCCCAGGGCCTCTCTGGAAGCCCCGCCCTGGCTTCTGCTATTCCTCTGCTATCCAGCAGGGAGGACAGACCACCTGGGCTCCTTCCTGTCCCAGCCAAGAAGCGGAGGGCAGGTGCCGATGGGGACTCCACTCAGAGGCCAAAGAGCGTCTGCTGGATGCACAGCCCCACCTGCAGTACCCCAGCCATGCATGCCCCCGAAGCAGGTGGGTGCACCGGGAGGTGGGCGGAGTGGGCCGAGACCTTGGGGTCTGCCTGAGTAAAACCTGCCGGGTGGACGCTGGCTGTCTGGAAGGCTCTGGAGGACGCTCAGGCTCCAAGCCCCAGACAGCGACTTCCAAATTCCTGTGGGCAGCACGTGCGATGGAACTTGATGTTCCCAGTGGACACCTGCTCTCCTCCTAACCTGGGGGCCTGGAACTGGGGGAGTTTGCAGACCTGGCACCATTTGGACAGGACACGCCCTGCAGGCCACAGGCCAAGGACTGCCACGTAGACTCCCCCCACCCCACCCCGGCCCGATTTTGCCATAGGGTGTGTGCCTTCAATGGAGAGATGGGAAGAGGGAGGGTGAGAAATGCCCCCTACCCGCGGGGCGGAGGGCCACGCTGCCACCCATTTTTCTCTCGGGATTTTGGACACGCGTGCACACGCACCCGGTGTGTTTTTCAAGCCGCCGGGTCCAGGACTTACGCTGTGCAGTTGGCCACGTGGGGTCTAGTGCCTTAATCAGCACATCACCAGCTGGCCCACGTAGGCCTGCTTTCTTTCTTTGTTTATTTTGGAGAGATGTTTCTCTATAGGGCGCATGTGCTTGCCAGAGAGACAGAGAGACAGAAGGTGAGAAATCACCCCCCGGGGGGATGGTCACGCCGCAATCCCTTCTCCTCCATTCTCCTCTCGGGATCTTGGGCACGCACGCACACATGCCCGGCATGAGTTTAAGCCACCGGGTCTGGGACTTGAACTGCGGTCGACTATGTGGGAGTCCAGCGACATAGCCATTACGCCAACTGCCGGTCCCGGTAAATGTTTTTTTTTTTTGAAGAGATGAGATGTGTGCACAGACCCCTGGACGGAAACCAGGCCACCTGCTACCAGCCTAGGGACGATGAGGCCTGAGGCAGTGCTGGGAACCTCCAGCTGCCCGAGGAGGGCATACAACCCCCTTATCTGTCCCAAAGTGCCCACGAGGCTGGGGCACTCTGTCCGCTCTGCCCGGACAGCCTGTCCTCTGCTGTCTCCACGGCCTGCCATCCCAGGACACAGAGGTCCCTGCAGGAAGTGAGCAGCGGGTGGGGGGGGGCAGGCACTTGTTCCTCCTTTAGCTCTGTGAGGTGACGTCACACACAGACCCATCCAGCGCACACGCTCGGACTCACGGAGCTGGGTCACCCGTCCCAGCAGTGAGGGCCCTCGGAGGAGGTGCTGTCCTGGAAGGAGCTCTGGACTAGCCTCCTCCGGGCAAAAGGCCCCCCTTTCCAGTAAAGCGCGGACGATTGGGAAACGCCTTTCAGGAATCCTCCCCGCCACTTCCTGGCAGGATTGAAGGGGACGCTGAGCCAGGGAGCGTGCAGATGGTGACCGCGAACAGGCTGTGTCTGTGTGCCAGGAGGCCGGGGGGCTGGACGGCCCGGGGGGGGCTGGGCCAGCTCAGGGTAGAGCTGGGGAGCCTGCACACACACACGGCCGACCTCTCCGAGGTTCTGCGAGACGCCTGCCCAGGTCAAGATGGGGGTGGGGTGGGGGGTGTCAGGGCGCAGGGCCACTCCGTCAGCGGGATGGCCGAGCACCCGGCAGGTTCTGACGCACACGCGGAGCAGGAAAAGGACCCTAGGTGGCCACCAGGCAGAAGTCACCGCGGCCTGCTCTGCATCAGCGGTGGGCAGGGCTGGGGTCACAGGGCTGTCGAATGTCATGGGCAGGACCCGCCCCCCACCTCCACCGGGCTGAGCCCAACCTCACGGGATGACTGAGGGGCTCTGGGGTCCCCATGAGTCCATTGTCCCATTCAATCTCCTCCCGATTTCACAATGGCCCCAGACTCCTCCTGAAACGCGCAATGACCCCACGGTAACCAGATGAACATCTGCTTGTGGTCCCCCGCGTCTCCGGCCCGAGCGCAGTCCCCTCTGAAGGAGGAGCGGGTCCCCTGACCCCTGCCGGCCACCTCCACGTCCCAGCCGTCTCCCTGAGCCAGGCCGCCCACGCCGGGGCAGGGTCCTCTTGTCTACACTTTTCTCTGTTATTTCATCTCTCGCATCTGCCTTTCCTCAAATAGAGAAGTCGAGCTGGGGGCCAGACAGCGGCAGGGCAGGAAAACATCATGCTTTGTGCACCGGCCAGCAGCCACAGGGTGGGTGTGCTTGCCAGAGACAGACAGAGAGACAGAGACAGAGAGGGGAAGAGAGAAAGCACCCCGCAGGGGGACACGGTCAGGCCACAATCCCTTCTAGATCTCTCCATCCCCCGGCACCATCTCTGAGAGGGTAACAGGCCTGGCCGAGACACGCACACGCATCCTGACCAGGACAGGGGAGTGTGGTCAAGGGAGTGTCCACCATGGACGCGACTCGGGCAGACGGAGCAGGGCTGAGGCCTCCCCAGCCCAGCAGATCTGAGGACCGTGCACAGCTGGGAGGGCTCCCAGAGCTCCTGGAGGGACAGTTCAGGGCCTGGGAAGACCATCCCTGTCTCGGACCCTCGGTCATGCCCTCCAAGGCTGTCCTGAGGTCCCCAGAGGCTCAGGCGCACTTGAGAAAGGAGCCTCTCTGAAGCAGAAGCTGCGAATCTGCAGAGTCCCCTTGTCACCTTGGCCACCTGGAGGCTCTGCAGTGGAACACTGACCTCCCAGCCTCCCTCTCGTCTCAGCATCTGCCTCACTGAGCCCTCTGCAAGCGCCCAGACCCCTGTCCCAGGACACCAGGGCGTAAGATGCCATCCAGAGAACTCAGCCTTTCTCCCCTTCAGGGCGTGACGGTCCCCTGCACGGTCACTTCTGCATCCCCCTGCAGCTCAGGCCCGCGCCTCGAGAGTCACAGACACCCACCTTCCCGGCCTCAGAGCCGGGGTCGGAACCCCGGCCTTCTCCAGCCCCACCACAGATGCCGGCCCCTAAGGGCGACCCGAGGCCATGTCAGCACCCCCCCACCCAGTCCAATTTGCCAGAAGGCACATGTGTGTGCCAGAGAGAGAGAGAGAGAGAGAGAACAGAGAAGAGAAAGAGCACCCCTCCATGGGGAGTGGTGACGCCGTATCCCTTTTCCATTTCTCTGTGCTTTTAGGATTTTGGGG